GGGTCCCAAGGGGGAACAAGTTTTTCTTTCTTCACCTTGTTATCCATTGTCAAACGTGCAAATAGGACAACAGGACCCCTTCTCCAGGATAGGGCATAATCTATTTCCTCCTGAGGGATAGGACGTTGGTTATTGACATATTCCATTAAAAATTGACAGACCCAGTCTTGCTCTGAGTCAAATTTAGGCCAAAAAACAGTTTAAAAATTGGTTCCTGTGTCCAAAACAAACAAATATCTTATCATTTGTTCCTTCTAGTTCCCTTTGGTACATGCACTATTATTCTAACACTTTAGCATTAATCCTAATAGACTATTACGGGAATTTTGTCCTTGGTTTCATCTTCTCTAGAGATTCTTTTCCTGGTATTATTTCCCATCCCGGCTACCTGGCTGTGTCTTCTTATAAAGAGGCTCAACCCCCCCTTCTATACTTGAGGTTTCTTGCTGTCTTTTATTTTTGCTTCGTCCATCCCTGGCTGCTGCCCTCACGGGAACGTTGAACCCCTCTTAGCAATTGGTGTGTGGGTATAAACCCCTGATTGTGATCGAGTCCTTGACTCTGTACCGCCCTAAGCCGTATGAAGTAGTCACAGAACCACGGATCAGGACTCCACACTTGCTTCATGCCCAGGGCACATCTCATTCACACACACACAACATCTGGGATATCCCAACCACCAAGAAAGCATTGGTCGCCCCCGCGGTTTTGCTTACCTTGGCCTATGCACAGAGTTACCTGGTTGCCACGAGGTGATGCTCGAGTAGGCCTTTTTCCCATTTTGCCAAGAGTCCGGATTTATTCGCTTCCTTGGGAGACTTAAGCAGATTGCACCTGAGTTCTGGACAGCAGGACGTGTCTCCCTCAGAGGAGAAGGCTAAAGCTGCTTCCCAAAGGGAATGGGAAATCCCGGACAGTCCCCCAAATTGTTAGACATGAATCCCGATGTCGCAGAAGAGACACTCGGTGAGACTAAATTACCTTGGCAAAGCAAAATTTACTCCTGCAAGAGGGTGCGTGCGCATAGCCGTACACACAGGAACAGGTCAG